ATCATTGTTTTATATGCTAACTAATTTGGATGTAAATTAAAAATAAAATAAAAAATAAAAAAAATAAAAAATAAAATTTAAAAATAAAAAATAAAATAAAATAAAAGAAGCAGACATCATTGTAAAGAAAATAGATACATCAAAAATTATTTCTCAAAAAATCAATATTTTACAGTATGTAAAGATATTAAAGAAAGATAAAATTAAATTGTATAATATCATAAATTGGAAAAAACAGACATGACAAATCCCTAAAGATCTTGAAAATAGAATGGATATTAACAAACGCAATAAATTTGATATAAATAAACAAGCCTTTAAAACCACGTGACAAAAATAAGAATAACTATATCATTTTGAAGTCGAACAAAATAGGAGTTTCTTTGTTCAAACATTGATAAAAATTTAAATATGGTGACAGTAAAGAATTGGATAGTACAAGACATTTTATAAGTGCATGTCATTTTCCAGATTATATAACCATGGGCACAGCGCTTGCTTCTAAACGACATACAAAATGAAAATTCTGATCCTTATATATCCATTAAAAGAAAATGAAGCCACAATTTCAACTTTCAGAGATTTAACATGAAATAATCCCAATTTGCAAAATCACTTTCAAATAATAACATTTCCTATTTTTTTAAGGTCTCCTAATAAGAATTAATAATTGCCAAAAGCATTAAAATGACAATACCATCATCTTAATAGATGGAAAAAGATATCTGATAAATTGAACAGCAATTCATGATAAAATAATCTCAACAAATAGGAATAGAAGAGATCCTCTTTCATCTGAAAATGGAAGTCCACAAAACCTATGGTTAATATTTGTAACTAAAAATGAAATATTGAATACTTTTCGGTGATTTTGGGGCCAAACAAAATTGGTCCCAATACTATCATTTCTATTTCAAATTTTACTGGAACTCCTCAACACTGTAAAATTTCAAAGAAAAGGAACATAAAATCTATAAATATTGGACAGGAACAAGTAAAGAATTAATTTTCAGTAACATATTTGAATAGCTAGAAAATATAAAGATCTGAATTATATCATTTATAGGAAGTGAGTTGGCAGGGTCACTGGATACAAAGATCAATATGAAAAGTAGAATTGTATTTCTATATATACCAGAAACAAACAATTAGAAGATGAGATATAATATACAGAATTGTCCAAAAAATCAAATGCCCTGGGAATAAATGTATGGCAAAATATGTAGAACTCTACCATGAAGATCACAGTCATTGCTGAGAATCTAAATAAATGGTGATCAATCAATTGGATATCCATGTGAAAAAAAGAGGAACATAATGTCTACTTCACACAATAAACAGAAATTAACTGGAAATAAGGGCATAGTGAAATGTGAAAAGGTAAATTATAAAGCTCTCAAGGAGAAAATGTAGGAGAATTATCTTTATGACCTTGGAGTAATTCAGGGACATAGGACGAAAAACACACTATAAAAAAGACGTGGTAGACCACTAGCTTCATAAAAATTAAGATAGTCTTTTCATCAAAGAAATTTAAAAGAAATAAATCAAACGGAAAAAGTTAATTTCAGTGCATATATTGGACAAAAGAACCCCATATCAGGACTATAAAAATTTTCCAACAAATCAATAGGAAAAAAAATCAATAAAAAAAAAAAATATTTACAAATATGAACAGGAACTTTACAAAACAGAATGTGCAAATTGCAGATAAGCATATGAGAAGGTGATCAACAAATTAGCGATCAGGAATACATTTTGAAAGCCATAATAAAATACTACTATCTACCCATAAGCATGACTAAAAAGAGCTAACAATATCTAGTGTTGAGTATGCAGGAACTCTGGCTATCACATTGTTCAAAAGAGTGTAAATCGACTAATATTTTAGTCAATTCTTTGGCAGAATCTGCTAAAAACTGACCATACAGGTACCATATTACCCAGCAATACTTCAAACACATGTCAACAGAAATATGATGCATATGTCTATCAAAGACATATAAAATGGATCATTTAGCTTTATTCAGTAAAAAATCTGGAAACATTTCCAACTATCCACCAACTTGAAAAGGAGTGAATAAATGAAATAATACACAGTAGTGGAAAGAAAATCCACTACTGAACACAGCGGCACAGATAAATTTAGCAGGAAGTAATACTAAGGAAAAAACCCATATATTATAGTTTCATTTATATGATGGTCAAGAATAGGCAAAACTAATCTATTATTGTGATAAAGGTCAGAAGATAAGTTACTCTTTATTTTGATAAAGGTCAGAAGTGAATTATGTGTATAAGAAATGAGGTAGGCTTCTGGGGTGTTGGTAACAGTCCATATCTCGAAAATCTGGATAGTTTGCTATAGGGACATAAATTAGTAAAAAAAAAAAAAATCACTTTTTTGCTTTACTGTATGTAAGTTATCTCACTTTCAAAAGCAGTAATATTTTTAAATTTTTAATGTTTTATTTATTTTTTGAGAGAGAGAGAGAGACAGAGTGCGAATGAAGAAGGGCAGAGAGAGGCAGACACAGAATCTATGGAAACCCGTCAGGCTCTAGCGACTAATAGCACAGAACCTGACATCGCGAAACTGAACCCAAAAAATCATGAGATCATGACTTGAGCCAAGTCAGATGCTTAACCAACAGAAACCCATAGCTGCCCCAAAAATATTTTTTAAAAAACAGAAAGGAATTTGAGACTTTAAGATGAAGTTAGGAGTGATGCCAAGGTTTCATTATTGTTTTGTTTTTTTAGGCTAGAATCTGGAAGAATAGCATTATCATTAGCAGGAATGGGAAGGGTTAACCATATATTTAAAAGCCCTTAACTATCAGGTTAGACTGACTCAGTGTGTTGGACATGCCCATGTGGAGATAGCTATTAGATCTCAATGTGGTGGTAACGAGGATCTGGAGTTCAGGAGCAAATCACTGGCATATAGATGACATTTTAGCTTTAGATTATAGCCACCAAAGGAATAGACAGCAAGGATGGATCTCCTGGTGTGCTGTCATGTCAAAGAGGAAGAAGGGAAGTGGAGTGCAATGCAATGCAATGCAATGCAATGCAATACAACAATGCAATGCAATGCAAACTGAGAAGAACTAAGAGGAGGGTTATGTCTAGAAACTGGTCAATAAAATGGTATAATCAATTTGGAAAAGTGGCAGTTTTTAACATTCATAAATATTTTACCCGAGAGTAATAAAAGCTGTGTGTGCACACAAAGTAGCTTTATTCCTAACAGTCCCAAACTAGAAACAACACAAATGTCCACTAACAGGACATCTGTAATATATTCAAACATTGGAAGAATGGACTCAGCATTTAAAAGGAATGAACTATCAATAACATGGTGTGTCTTAAAAACAGTAGTGGAATCCGGATGGCCAATAGGCACATGAAGAGATGCTCAACGTCGCTCCTTATCAGGGAAATACAAATCAAAACCACACTCAGAGATCACCTCACACCAGTCAGAGTGGCTAAAATGAACAAATCAGGAGACTATAGATGCTGGAAGGGATGTGGAAAGCGGAACCTCTTGCATAATGGTGGAATGCAAATTGGTGCAGCAGCTCTGGAAAGCAATAATGGAGGTTCCTCAGAAAATTAAAATAGACCTGCCACATGACCCAATATGCTGCTAGGAGATTTACCCAAAAGGGGATGGTACTGATACATAGAGGGCACTTAGCCACTAATGTTTATAGCAGCACTCTGTAATAGCCAAGTATGGAAGAGCCTAAATGTCCATCAACTGATGAATGGATAAAGAAATTGTAGTTTATATACACAATGGAATACTATGTGGCAATGAGAAAGAATGAAAATATGGCCCTTTGTAGCAACGTGGATGGAAGTGGAGAGTGTGATGCTAAGTGAAATAAGCCGCCTGAGAAAAGACAGACCTACCACTCTTATGTGGATCCTGAGAAACTTAACAGAAACCAATGGGGGAGGGAAGGAAAAAAAAAAAAAGAGGTTAGAGTGGGAGAGAGCCAAAGCACAAGAGACTTTAAAAACTGAGAACAAACTGAGGGTTGATGGGGGGTGGGTGATGGGTATTGAGGAGGGCACCTTTTGGGATGAGCACTGGGTGTTGTATGGAAACCAGTTTGACAATAAATTTCATATATTGAAAAAAAAACAGTAGTGGAGCCAAAGAAGTACAAAACTTTATAAAGTACATACTTTAGGATTCCATTTGCATGTGATTCAAGAACAGGCAAAAGGGATGTCTGGGGATCAGAAGTGGTTGCCCCTGCCTGGGATGGGAAGGACTGACTGGGAAAGGGTATGAGAGAATGCTCTGGGGTGCTGTAAATGTTCGAATTCTTGATTTGGAATAGTGCTGTACACTTGAGATATTATGAGCCTTTTATTAAATGGAGATTAGATCTTGACTGAAATGTGTACATACATATAAATGTAAATAAATATACATACTCAAATTTCTAATCTAATGAAGGAATCTATTGCAATGAGCCAGGCTCCCCTCAGCCCAAAGAATTTCACACTCTCTTTCTGCCCTTGCAGTACTTGGATTTCGAGCTTTCAGAACATGGACTCAGGCTTCAGGGTGATGCTGCAAGTTGGAACCTTGTGCAATCACCCCCAGGTCATTTCCCTCTAGCTTGCCGACTTCCCATCACTGACACAATGCCACATCTGGCCACCCCCGCCAGGCCGCGAGAGAAAGTTTGGGAGAGGCAGGTTCAACCTGGTGGGGAATTCCTCTCCCCCGAACACTTTCCAGCGCCCTGCTGTGGCGGGTCACACAGCCCAGTAGGGCATGAATCAGCCTCCCTTCCAGGCTCCGCATAGGCACGCTCCGCCCCGTCCGGGGTCGGAGGCGGCTCACCCTACTACATAAAGCAAGCACCCAGCACGTCGGCACCCAGGCCGCCTAGAGACTGGACTCTGTGCACCCTTTTCCAACGGGACTTTCAAGGAACGCCTCGCCCCGAGGGCCAATTGAACCGGACACCATGGACCCTACTGGACCTCTCCGGCTGTTACTTCTGCCGTTGCTCCTGATGGGGACCGTGCTGGGAGATGGTGTTCAGGAGGCACCAGGTATGGGCTGGTCTGGGACCCCCCTCTTTGCGCCGGGCTTCCGCTGAGGTAGGCAGTGAGGGCGCTGCGGCAGTGGGGCCCCCAGCACCCGCCCTCTCCACCCGGATTTCCCCGGGCCCCTGCCGCACAGGGAGTCTAAAGCCGTGGGAAGAGGCACTCCCGCCGAAGTTTGTACTTTCTCTCCTGCAAACCCCCCCCTCTGCTCGGAACAGAACTCCCCCGGGAAGCCTCTACCTTCCCGGGAGACGGGAGACGTGGCTGACCTCCTTCCCTCTCTCAGGCTCTCCTTTTGACCCTCCTGTAGGAAACAATGCGGAGATCTGCCTCCTGCCCCCGGACGAAGGGCCCTGCCGGGCCCGGATCCCCAGTTACTACTACGACAGGTACACACAGAGCTGCCGCAAGTTCATGTACGGGGGCTGCGAGGGCAACGACAACAATTTCGAAACTTGGGAGGCCTGCGATGAAGCTTGCTGGAGGATAGAGAGTAAGTTGTTGTACGCAAGCTCAGAACTCTTGCGCGCTCCTTGCAGGGAAGGGCTGGTGGTAATTTAATTTTATGCCTCCTTGAAGACACTGTTTCCTCATGTCGATCATCCATCAATCTGAAATACTTTCACTGGATTTTATTATTAAAGTATGATTTAGCTAACTATAAATTTTCCTTTTGTCCCTGGATGCCCAAACATGTTTTGGCTTAGTACAGGGAGATTGTGGAGATTCATGATAATGTTTTCTATTTTACTTTAATTATATTTATTGTATCTGTTAAGGCCAGTAACAGAACATGGGACTTTGCAATTCAGGGAAGTAAGCCAAAGGAAAATATCCATCCGTGTGAATAAGTTTAATTAACTTCATGTGTAGAAAAATCAGAACACCCTGTGAGAACAGAGAATTCCCACTACGTTTGGCTGACTCAGGTCTGGAGCCACTGTTACAAAAAAAAAAAAAAAAAAAAGCTAAAATAACTGGATTAATGAAAAGTCTCTTGGGGAATTTACTATCCCAGTACTAAATGTGATGCTGTTTTCTCCCCCAGTTCTTTCTGAAAATATAGTAAAGTTTTGATGTAATCCTAAGATAATTTTTGACTAACACTGTTTTATGCCCTCCTTTTCCTAGAAGTTCCCAAAATTTGCAGGTTGGAAGTCAGTGAGGGGCAGTGTGGAGAGCCCAGAGAAGAGTATTTCTTCAATCTCAGTTCCATGACATGTGAAAAATTCCTATCTGGCGGGTGTCACAGCAATGAGAACAGGTTCCCAGATGAGGCTACCTGTATGGGCTTCTGTGCACCAAAAAAAAGTAAATACTACTTTTATGGTGTTGCTATTTCGTTTCTTTATTAAGACTCTAGGAGTAAAAAATCAACAGTTTGATGTGGAATTCACATGGCTTGTGTTCTGGTGATTTCACATATAGTATGATATCGATCTTCACACAATTGCCCTGTGAGGAAGTAGAATTATTCCCATTTTTACATATGAGAGGACAGGCTACCAGAAGTTCATGACTTGCCAAGTTCTCAGGGCTGGAAAGTCACAAAGCCATGCATGATTTTAGTTTTTGCTTCCTCTTCTGGATTGTTTCTTTAGAACTATTTCTTATCTACTTAATTTACACATAAAAATTACAGTATTCTGAATGTCATGACCTCAGGTTTGGAATCACTTATTATAGGAGACAGTGGAATATATACAGACTTAAGATGGTGAAACTCAAAATTTCTATCTAAAGTTTTTGGCTAGATTTCTGTATCCTTTAGTAACTGCAAATTGCAGGACAAAGAGATTTCTATCCTTCTTTGTTACCCTTCTTTGTTCTTACCTACATCCTCACCCCCTCACTCCCTAAAAATGATGTGTTACTAGGGCAGCATTTTTGTAGAGAGAGACAATACAGGCATTTTCCCTTGGCATAGCAGACATACACAAATATATACAAACTTAACAAACAAGGAAAACTTGCTTTGGCAGAGATTTGAGGGAGCTCTATAGCTATTTGCTGTGTTCAAAATGTAAAATCTTGAGTTAATGGACAGATGGTGGTTGCTGGTGTTTCCTTAAATTTTTTGTGTAAATGTAAATGTTCCAGTGGCTACTTGGGAAATAGATACATGCATTCTTGATTAATAGTGGAAGGAGAGCTGATAAAAACATTTAAAATCAACCTACCAACACAAGAAACTTTACTAAAGCATGACATATATCAGCCCTTGAAACATAGCCCATTTCTACCAGACCATATCTGTTCTTTGGGTTCAATTTTTTTACACGTTCAAATGATACAAAGACATAGCTTCGGAAGAAATTCTCTCCAGTTTATGAAAATTTTAGATTTAGCAAAGTATAGCATGTAAGCTTTCTTGAAAATTGAGACACGCTTTTTAAATGGTTTAGTATGATATTTTGGATTCAGAATGAAGCTTCTATGGGATTAGATTTTCTTCAGTTACTTCAGTAATCACAACTTATTAATTCTGGTATTACTGCATTTCTAATTTTATTTTCTTTTTTTAATAAAGGTCCATCATATTGCTATAGTCCAAAAGATGAAGGACTATGCTCGGCTAACGTGACTCGCTATTATTTTAATCCGAGACACAAAGCTTGTGAGGCCTTCACCTATACTGGCTGTGGAGGGAATGAGAATAACTTTATTAACATGAAGGATTGCAAACATGTTTGTGTAAAAGGTAATGATTTTTTTCTTCATTCCATTTTTAAACTAATTTTATAAATAATTTATAAGCAAATTTATATTTTTATGTATCCATTTTCCTAATAGCATATTGACATTTCAAGACTACTTCTACATAAATAGCATTTTAGTACTGGTCAGTTTTGTCAAATGCTAATGCTGTCTAGCTACAATAGACAGTAGCTGTATCCTTGCATTTTAAAGGTAGAAAGTTACTAACTTGAGTGGATAGTGAGTAAAACTGACTTTATAATCATTAAAAACAGTTGAGGTGAGCTGGTAAGCATGTCGGCACTGTTGATTTAAAGTGAGTGTATGGGCTGGAGATATATGATATTTATTTTTACTTTGTTGACTTTAGCTTTGAAGAAGGAAAAGAATAAGAAGATGCCAAAACTTTTCTTTGCTAACAGACGGGTGAAGATTTGGAAGAGGCAATTTTAACTTTTTTTTTCTATATTTCATTTTGTGAATGCTACTGCCTTTACGGTTATATCTGAATAATAATATAACATGGGTAAATGAATCATTAATGATTTACTTGCCAGTTTTTATTGCTACAGGTTACTTTTTTGTATATTTTTATACATAACCAGCTGCTATTCAAATGTGAATCTATTATTTTTAATTTACTGTTCACCTATATGAGGCTGAATTCTTACTGTGCGTAAGATATAAAAGCAAATATGACTCACCCAATTCTTGGGGTTGTTCTTCCTGAAATCAGAAGGTGATAGCAATTGAAAAGCATAAGACAGTATAATCATGTTGTCTTAATACATATGATCATAAAAAGCACCAGCAAATACATTTCATTTTGCATTTAAAAGTTGAATTATATTTTAAGTCCAAGGAAACAAACCTGCGGATTTATCAACACTTGAGAAAAATATTACAAGTGCTGTTAGGTAGACATGATTAACTTCTATTTCTATTGTGTCATTTAAAAGACAATAAAATAACTTTTTTGACTGAATAAAAAGTTTGCAAATTTATTAAAATCAGAAATGTTTTCTTCTGGGGATAAAATTCTCTCTCTCTTTAACTGCGTTTCCATCCATCATCCCCATTCACATGTGTATATATATGTTTATACATATAGAATAGATGGCTTTTAATATTCTATCGTTACCTTACTTCCTAAGACATAATAAACTGGAGACCACTAAAATTGTTAAAATTTTTAACTGTTCAAGGTGTTTATTTATATTAAACCAGAGAGCATGCATGAATTTAATAATTTAAGTTCCACTAATGAAATATTCTTTTTTTTTTTTTAACATTTTTTTATTTTTTATTTTTGAGACAGAGAGAGACAGAGCATGAACAGGGGAGGGTCAGAGAAAGAGGGAGACACAGAATCCGAAACAGGCTCCAGGCTCTGAGCGGTCAGCACAGAGCCCGACGCAGGGCTCGAACTCACAGACTGTGAGATCATGACCTGAGCCGAAGTCGGACGCTCAACCGACTGAGCCACCCAGGCGCCCCGAAATATTCTTGATAAATATGATCATTCCAGTTAAACAGTTTTTTTTTTCTGTAATGACTTTTTTTTTAATTCCTACGTTTTCATGGCAAGATTAATATGTTTAAAAGTATTCCCCTAATCTAGCAAAATTATAAATGCATTTACCCTTTGCTTGAACAATTCCTCTTTTAAAATTCTAGCCCAGGGGCACCTGGGTGACCCAGGGGTCACAGTTGATCATCCCACTCTTGATTTCAGCTCAGGTCATGATCCCAGGGTCATGGGATCAAACCCCTTATCAGGCTCTGCGCTGAGCATGGGGCCTGCTTAAGATTCTCTCTCTCTCTCTCTCTCTCTCTCTCTCTCTCTCTCTCTCTCCTCTTTCTTTCTCTCTCTCCCTCTGCCTCTCTCTCTCTCTCTCAAATAAAATCAAAACAAACAAATCTATCCCAAAGGTATTGTGAGAACAGTACAAAATGGTATAAGCCTGAGGACATTCATTGATGTATTATTCGGAACAACTGAAAACTGGAAACAAACCAGATAACCATCAATAGGGGATTGGTTGAAGAAATTATGGATGAAAAATGAGCAAAATATCTATATATGGGTATCATCTTATCCTCAGAATACATTTAAAAAACAGGGTCTAGAACAATATGAATAAAATATACACATCACAGAGGACATAAGGATATTAAAAATAGTTGCCTATACCAGGAAGGAGGAAACAGAGGATGGGACAGGTATGGAGATATTATATAGTTTTGATCTTATACCATGCAAACACTGCATAATTTAAAACCAAAATTAACAAGAATAGAAAGCATTCCTTCTGCAATTAGAAATAAACTAAAACAACTGAACCCAAATGAACATCAGATGGTGGCATAACTATACAAAGAATATGTAATTGTTTCCGGTGACTTTCAAAGCCAGTATTTTGACTATATGTCTTTTAAAGGCTATGATCTAATGGTCATATAAATTCTGAAGAAATCTGAAAATGCAGATTAGTAGTCATTAGTAATATTGATACTGTTATTTTGAACCTATCATATATAGAAAATATATTTCTTTAGAAGTCAAGATTTTCAGTGTTAAGAGAAAAAGACAGAAGTATGAAATTAAGAAATTAAGAAAAAGCCTTTAACTTTTAAATTGGAATTACAAATATTAGTATGAATTGAAAGTATATTTTCTCTTTTAAAAAAATAAAAGTGTTTTCCATTTAAAAGTCCTTGAAGCAATGATAATCCAGTGGCAGTAAGTACACCTACCAGGGTTCTGAGGAGAAATCACCAACTCCAGGTCTAGAACTGGAAATATGTAAGATGAATTTAGGCCATCTTATTCCAGATAGTGAGGAAGCTATCAAAGACTAATGAATCAGGGGCACCTCGGTGGCTCAGTTGGTTAAGCATCCAACTTTGGCTCAGGTCATGATCTCACAGTGTGTGGGTTTGAGCCCCACGTGGGGCTCTGTGCTGACAGCTCAGAGACTAGAGCCTGTGTTGGATTCTGTGAATCCCTCTCTCTCTATTCCTCCCTCACTCATACTCTGTCTCTCTCTCTCCCCAAAATAAAAGAAACATTAAAAACCGTTAAAAAAGAAGACTAATGAATCATATCATAAAAACAGGAGGGTAACAACAAGGGCCTTTCAATGATCTAAAATAAGGCAATATGAACATCAAAACAAATAATGACCACAATATATGTAAATATATAAAAATGAATTAATAATTACACACACATGCACGCCTCCTTGGTCACATTTGGAGACTGCTAGGGCACTCTCCCATTACTTTGAAAATTGGTAAGTTAACAGAAAGAATAAAGTATTTATCCTTTTTTATTTATCATTAAATTTATACCACTGGGAAACTAAATAGTGTATAAAAGTTATTCATAGAAGAATCTCACCTTATACATGCATGAAGATGTTAGAAGATACCTCTAATGAAAGTATGCATCTGGGTAATGATCATCTGTGGATGCCGAAGTCGTGGCTCAAAAGGTTGATGGAGGAATTAGGCTTATGTCTCTGAATCCATGGATAATTTCAGTGGCAACAGACATTCTTTGCTTCTTGATATGATGAAGTAGCACACACCTCCTCCCCATGAAGAAATCTTGAAGAAAAAAAATTGAACCCGAAGTTAATCAAACCTCTAGATCTATCATTCATGAGGCAATATTGGGGATAAAGGAACAAGTTGGAAGAAACCAGGGGAAGTCAACCAGCCAAATCCATAATGTTGGCCACTCTACAGGAAAAATACCTTACGTTTTCCAACAAACCAATGAAATTTTAAAAGGAGTGAGAGGAGGAGCCAATGCTTTTATAGCTTTTATATGGGATGCAGCATGTCATTAAAAGGTTTTTGGTGGAATAAGACCTGTATTTGTGACTACTCTTGGTGGTTTTTGAGAATGATCAGAGCAAAAGGGTCTTATGTACTCTGAGGATCTTATGTACAGAACCTTTGGGAATTCTGGGGATTCCAAGTGCTACAGGGAAGCTTGATTTGGTATTTGCTGCCTTTACGTCCCCTGCAGCCAAAGCCCTCAGGAGACGGCTCAGCCTACATTCAGCTACAGCTGCAGCTTTCTGTCCAGCTTGGGTAGGAATTTTGAAAACAATTTTCTAATACGCCAAAACCTCTGCCATTTTATTTTAATGAAGTATATAAAGCTGTTGTAGGTCATCCTGCAGTCTAAGTGAAATTCCTTCTCGCCACAGCCTGAAGACAAGTCACTGCTGTGGTTTCACCAGACAGCCTGATTAAAAGGAATGTCTCGTTCTAGGTACAAAAAGACACAAAATAGAACAGGCTGGCTTTAAATAACATAGTCTTTTATTGAAAAAAAAAATTACTCTGGACCGCCACTCATTCCTGCTCTATGCACACACACTGTCACATGTTTAACCATACAAACTGCAGTGGAGCCTTTAAAACTGCCTGGATCACAGCATCTCTAGATATGCATGCTATCTCTGCCAACAGTCTCGTAGACATTTAGCTAATGATGTAACTCCGTAATGTTCTTTGGAGTATCTGTTCCTGTATTGTAATAGTGGCTCCAGTAAAATATGGGTCTTGTGATAAAAATAAGGAAAGGTGGAAAAGTGGAGTTTGTAGTTTTAAGAGATTCTTCGTCTAGGTATTTTAAGCCTAGAATGAAGGCAAGCAAATGTGGGCATTGGAACCATCCAAAATTATTTTGTCTTCACTCAGTATTCAGTTGGTAACCAAGTATATCTGTTCAAGTCTATTCTAGTGCTGCTTATCTTATTCCAGGAAAACTAAAACATTTTCCCAAATTTCCTCCCTGCCTGTCTGCTCCCTATCCAATCATCCACACTGATGCCAGGGTAATCTTTTTGAAAAAAAATCTTATCAAGATTTACTCCTCTTAAACTCTTCAGAAGTTTGCTGTTGAATCTTCATGTTAACTGCCCAAGCCCCTAGTGTGTCATTTAAGGCTTCTTAAAAGTGGGCCATGACATTCCTCTCCAGATGTATCTCCCCCATTCCAACATCACCAGTAAGCTACAATTCAGTTGCACTAAATCATGTTCAGTTTCCAAAGAATGTGATACTGCTTTGGCTTTTTTGGTAATGTAATTAACGAATTTTGCACATGAGAACCATCCAGGGAGCCAGTTATATGGCAGGCTCCTATGCCCAATGACTGGGGGTTTTGATTTAGTGGGTTTGAGTTAGCAACATGACAGACAACGACTCCAGATGATTAGAAGGTATACTTGTGCCACACTTTGAGGAACACTATTTTATGCCTCAGTGTAAGTTTTTGTTTTCTTTGAAATGAATAGCCTTCCCTCTTTACTAACCACTTGGTAAGCTGAATCTTCTTGTTGGCGGTATTCCTTGAGTTACCTCAACCAGGTTTAATCATTTGTCCTGTGGCTTCGCTATATCTAATACAACTTCCTAGTTGCACTAAGATAGCATTTAGTTATTTTCCTAGGATTTTTGTTGTTAGGGTGTTCAAGTTTTTCATGCAAAACTAATAGGTTATATTTTGATTTTGAAATATGTTATTATACTCACTGTATACTATATAGAAAATTAAAAGTATCTATAAAGATAAGAATAAAAATAGTCCAAAATTTCATCACTAATTAACAACCACTCTTCAGTTCCCTTGAAGGGGAAGTAACTTAGTCAAGAGGTATGAACATGTTAATGCTCTCAGTATATGCTGACAAATTACATTACAAAGTTCTATCAGTTTAT